ATTTTCCGCCTGGTACCCAAAACCATGGTAAGGACCAACAAGCAATATCTGGCGACTGAAATACTTTGGGAAAGACAATTATGGTTAGTTTTCGGATAAGTACCCTAGAAAATCTACAAATAGGAGATGTTTTATTCTATTTTGATTACGTTTGGATAGAAAATTATTATTAGTACTATTCCCTCCGTTCCTAAATATAACTCTTCTAGAAATTCCACTATAGATTACATACGAAGCAAAATGAGTGAATCTACACTCTAAAATATGTCTATATACATCCATCCGTATGTCGTTTGTAGACAATCTATAAATAGAAATTTTTTATTCTGTTTTGATTACTTTTGGATAGATAATTATTATGTTTAGTATCAGCCTGCGTATTTAGATAAATATAAGACAATCTATAAATAGAAGTTTTTTATTCTGTTTTGATTATGTTTGGATAGACAATTATTGTTAGTAGTATCAGGATAAATACATTTGAAATACCATATGATACATGTGGTAAATGATCCACACATGAGGAATATACTATATCTAAACATGTTTTAGTGGTAGCAAGATACATAGATACCTTAGTATCTAATAAATCTAAGCCAATTTTTTTGGGACGGAGGTAACATATAAAGATGGGTCTCGCCCTCATGGGCAAAGCAGCACAGGGAGCAAAGTTGGCTTCCCTACGCAACGATAACAAGGTAAGCTACATCGCAAGCCTATGTGCACTCAGCAAGCAGCAGTCTCCACAATGTTGGCGTGCTGCTGCTTTGTTGTGTCCCAGCTGCTCATTGTAATAACGCTTATGTACCTTGTCATGGCCAAGAGCAAGGTCCGCAGTGGCACGTGCTCATCGGCGACGGTGCTGCTTCCACTTCCGCCGGGGCCATGACCGTGGCCAGTGGTGGGTAGCCTGCCCGAGCTAGTGCTCAGCAAGCCGGCGTTCCGTTGGATCCATCGCGTGATGAAGGATATGGGCACCGACATCGCTTGCTTCCGCCTTGGCAGCGTCCACGTCGTCCCGATCACATGTCCCAAGATCGCAAGGGAGGTGCTCAAGAAGCAGGACAAAAACTTCTCGTCCCGTCCACTCACCTTCGCCTCCGGCACCATCAGCTCCGGGTACAAGGACGCCGTGCTCTCGCCATTCGGGGATGAAGATGCGCAAGGTGCTCACTTCTGAGATAATTTGCCCCTCCCGCCACAAGTGGCTCCACGACAAGCGCGCCGACGAAGCTGACAACTTGATGCGCTACATCTACAACCTCACCGCCGGGGGGTCATCTTCAACGTCGGGACTAGGCGCCAACGTCGATGTCAGGCATGTCGCGCGGCATTACTGCGGCAACGTCATCCGCCGGCTTGTCTTCGGCCAACGGTACTTTGGGGAGCCTCAGCCGGACGGCGGGCCGGGGCCGATGGAGATGGAGCACATGGACGCTTCCTTCGCCCTCCTAGGGTTCACCTTCGCGTTCTGCGTCAGCGACTACCTCCCGTGTCTACTTGGCCTGGACCTCGACGGCCACGAGAAAATTATTAAGGAGGCCAACACAAAAGTGGATAGACTGCACAACGTGGTCATCGAAGAGCGTTGGAGGCAGTGGAACAGCGGCGAGAGGCAGGATGGGGTCCAGGACTTCCTTGACGTTCTCATCACGCTCGCCGACGGTGATGGCAAGCCGTTGCTCAGCATCGATGAGGTCAAAGCACAGTCCAAGGTAAGCAAAATATTAATTAATGAGAAATTTTAAGATGGTTCAAGGGCCTAGATTGAATTTAGCGACCAATTGCCTCATAGTCCTACAAGGTACTAATACGTCATCCATGAGAAAAGATAATAGCTCACACTCTTAAATACTACTCCCTCCGTCTCATAATATAAGAACGTTTTTGACACTAGTTAGTGTCAAAAACTTTAGGGAGTAGATCTTATAATGTATTTCGCAGGTGTTAGAAAAGGGAAACAATAGAATAAGAAATTGTGAATTAATAGTTTAAACATAGCATTAATGTATTTTTCTACCATTTTGGTGTTATTTTAACTTAAATTGTATTTAAAATTCCAATTATTCAATGTAATCTATCTTTATGCAAAGATATAATATTAACTTACATTTATCTCCATGGAATGCATGCAGGGCATAATATTAGCGGCCATAGATAACCCGTCAAACGCAGTGGAGTGGGCGCTGGCGGAGATGGTGAACAACCCAGAATTGCTGGCCAAGGCGGTGGAGGAGATGGACCGGGTGGTCGGTCGCGAGCGACTGGTGCAAGAGTCGGACATCATGCATCTCAACTATCTCAAGGCGTGCATACGTGAGGCATTTCGCCTCCACCCAATCGCTCCCTTCAACCTGCCGCACGTCGCGATTGCCGACACCATTGTTGCGGGCTACCGTGTGCCCAAGGGTAGCCACGTCATCCTCAGCCGGCTGGCCCTGGGCCGGAACCCCGCCGTCTGGGATGAACCGCTCCACTTCAAGCCAGAGCGCCATATGGGAGACAACATCAATGTGGTGCTTACCGAGAGCGAATTGCGGTTCATCTCCTTCAGCACCGGACGGCGGGGATGCATCGCGGCATCACTAGGAACAACCATGAGTGTCATGCTCTTCGGCAGGCTCTTGCATGGCTTCACCTGGACCAAACCGGCTGGGGTGTCGGCCATCAATCTCAGCGAATCGAAGCACGACCTCTTCAAAGAGAAACCGCTAGTGCTACATGCTGAGCCACGTCTTGCAGTGCACCTCTACCCTCTCATTATGCATCGTTGAGCAAAATAACGAGCTATGAATCACCGATATGGTGAGTATGTCAGCTATTTTCTTGCTCAATCTATACTTACTAATAAAGGAAGGTGATATTCTTATTTTTGTCCTGCTTTGTTTCGTTCCACTTTGATTGATTTTCACGTATGCTAGGTATTTTGGTTTTGTCCGTTTCATGTACGAGCGAGATGGTTTCTTTCATGCATCGCTGGATCGTCCTAGGCTGGTCCAAAGCATTGGAACAGTACATGCTAGCCAAACAACCACCCATCTACTATTGATTTTGGACAAATAGAGATGAAATGTATACAGGAGGATGCTCTTTTTATCACCAACGAAGGATAAAAGTGGATCGGCGCATATACGTTGGGCAACTCCGTTTGAGCTCTTTTTTCCGGCCCAAGTCCATGGCGGGGCAGCATAGCAACCTATAATTGTCTCTTTATTTTGCACTAGTGCGGAATTGGGCATTACTCCTGGTTCATAAGGGCCTTTAGTCCCGGTTCATCAACCGAGACTAAAGTGAATGAAATATGTCCTAAAGACAATAATAAAATTATTATTTACATTTCGTTATATCATAATAAATATTTATTATTCATGCTAGAATTGTATTAACCAAAAACTTAGTAGTACGTGTGAATACATAGACAAAACAAAGTGTCCCTAGTATGCCTCTACTTGACTAGCTCGTTAATCAAAGATGGTTATGTTTCCTGACCATAGACATGTGTTGTCATTTGATGAACAGGATTACATCATTAGAGAATGATGTGATGGACAAGACCCATCCGTTAGATTAGCATAATGATCTAAGTTTTATTCCTATTGTTTTCTTTATGATTTATACATGTTCCTCTGACTATGAGATTATGCAACTCCCGAATACCGGAGGAACACCTTGTGTGCTATCAAACGTCACAATGTAACTGAGTGATTATGAAGATGCTCTACAGGTGTCTCCGAAGGTGTTTGTTGGGTTGGCATAGATTAAGAATAGGATTTGTCACTCCGTGTATCGGAGAGGTATCTCTGGGCCCTCTCAGTAATGCTCATCACTATAAGCCTTGCAAGCAATGTGACTAATGAGTTAGTTGCGGGGTGAAGCATTACAGAACGAGTAAAGAGACTTACCGGTAACGAGACTGAACTAGGTATGATGATACCGGCGATCGAATCTCATGCAAGTAACATACCGATGACAAAAGAAACAACGTATGTTATTGTATGGTTTGACCGATAAAGATCTTCGCAGAGTATGTAGGAGCCAATATGACTATCCAGGTTCTGCTATTGGTTATTGACTGGAGATGTGTCTCGGTCATGTCTACATAGTTCTCGAACCGGGTCAGCTCACTTCAATGCTTGAAGTTTGTCGTTAGGTGGTCTACGAATCTGGATGACTTTTTTGTGTTTCTGGTATTCATTACCCTATCATGTTTAATGATGAATAGACTGAAGGTTTACCCGAAAAAACTATGAACAGATTGGAGGTTTTACCGCAAAGAAAAACTGGTCAAAATGAGGTCCAAAATACAAGTTTTTTTCTTAAGGTTTTAGTAGTGTCACATGATTAAAATGACGCCATATATTTTTCTCCTTCTCCAATATGTGTAGCGCTTGCTTATTTATTTTTTTGAACTACAGACAGATTGAGACTCCCATTGAAAGTGTATCGCCGGAAATTCTGAAATAAATTCAGGATAAATGCGAGCGTCAGAACTTGAACCCCGATGGGTTAGGATACCACTATCCACCTAACCATCCCAACCACAGATTGGTGCACAACGCTTGCTTAATTAAGATCAGTCAACGGATCTCCACGTAATTACATATTCTCCTCATGATTCAGCATGCCGTGGCCCTCTGCGTTGTGCTGCTCGTGCCACCGCGCGCCCTGGCTTCGTATCGGCGTCATGTCGGTCTTAACCTGTACTGCCATTTCACTCCAGCCATTATACTTTGTCATGTAACTGTGCACAGGCGCAACCCCCAAGGTATTTGGCCACTATACTAAACTTCCCAAGGAAAGTGCTATTCTGAGCTCGAGCTCAGATGCACTGCATATCTCAGTCGTTCACTGGCACCGAGATTCACAACGTCTCCTGTATAGTCATATGTATTCTGAATAGTATATCCCACCTATTTCCTGGCAAGGGCCCATCTATCTACCACACATAATGCCACCATCGCCGTCCCACGCTGACGGGTTCAGACGGGGGTGCAAGTTATGGGCCACGGCTCAGCCTATACACCTATTTTAATACCCCTCCAGTGACACAGTGATCTCAGTGGTTGGATGGGCTGCTGATGTGACTAGACATGGAGCGAATAAAAAATTTAGCTTGTGCAAATGAGTTATATTAACAAGAATTGTAGTATGAGAGGGACAAGGTGGAAAGTTGGAAAACAAAAAACACATGTTAAGTGATTTGAAGGGCCTAGTGGTACAAGGGTGCTAATTAATTGTGAAGGCACAGTGACGATGACAGGCAGCGATCGTATTTTATTAGTAGAACCCGTGATGATGTGATCACCCCTAGCTATGTAGCTAATATTATTGCACCATCGGAGAAGGTCATGGCTGAGAAGGATGCATGCGACTCTGGCTGTAGAAAATATATCATACCAGCACAACGTGGAGTAGCAGCTGGCATGAAGAGAACAGGTGCATGTATACTTGGGCCCGTACCGCGAGCATATCAGTCGATGCTACAACATAAATATCAATCACCAGCGACACCACCAACAGAAGATATCAAGCCAAACTTTCGGACTCCACCTCGTTGGAATTAATTAAACCATATACATGAAGGTCTCCTAGTTATACGGAGAATTTACTACATTAGTTTTGCTCCTCTTAGTTAATTAGTTTTTTTTCAAGTCCATTGGTGTGTCCTTGTGAGTTACGGGCTTAGCCCAGGTTGCCTGCGTGCACCTATTGAACATATAAACTCTGGTAGACTACCCGCTCATATGGAGGCATCGCATCGCGCGTGCGTTGTGGTTCGCTCGATGTGCCTCGCTGTAAAATTCCTCGTCCTTTTTACCTGTCTGTCAAACATCCGGCCCTAGGTTTTAGTTTACTCCATTGCTTTGGGTTTTGGTGGATGACGCCTGGGCCACTCTTCTACGTTAGACCATTCTTACAGCGTGCGTGGGTCGAAAAAGAGGTGGCTGCAGCCTACCGAGGTTAGTCGCGGGACGGGAGAAAAGACCGCATCTCCCCACTCCTCCCACGCCCTGTGCACCCAATCCCCTCCTCCTCCTCCCTCACGAACCCTAGCCGCCTCCATGTTCGCTTCCTCCTCCTCCTCCTCCTCCATCCTCCCGCGCCAGTCGCGCCCTCCCTCTCCTGCATCTCTTCCACCCCGAGATCCGAGGTGTGCAGGCGCGGAGGCGCGCTTCCCTGGCGGCAGCGGCAACCTACAGGCAAAGGGCGACGGCGGACCAAAGGGCGACAGCGGCGACCTCGGTTCGATCTGTGGGAGAGAGAATATGAGAGGGAGAAGAAGAAAGGAGAGGATGGAGAAAGAGAGAGGAAATAGGAGAAGGAGGCGACGTCGAATGGGAGAGGGTCAGTGCGGTGGCGCAGCGGACGGCGGCTCGTGCTGTGGTGCGGCGCCGTCGTCCACGTGCTCCTCCTGAAGCTCCTCCTCTCCACCACGGGTGGATGCCTGGTGAGGCCAGCGTCCCCTCCACACTCAGGTGCTCCCCCGCTTCCCTGTGTCCCCTTTGTCTCTTCCCCTGACCCTCTCTTTCTGTCACACATGGAGAGAACCGTGGTGGCAGCACATCAGATTTTGCTACGAAATACAACTTAGTTCTGAAAATAAGAAACAAAGCTGATTAAATCCCCTATGCATCTGTTGTTTGTTTGCTGATTTACTGGGTAGATCTTGAACTGGACGACACAAAGGAGGTGGCATTAGTAGTCATGGAGATCCTCGTGTTCTGAACATCAATTAGTTCCATGGGGCTAAATGATACTGTAATCTGGCTTTCGTGGCCTATATATAGTATTTAGTAAATAAGTCTGTTCCATATCCCATTAATATGAATGCAGCTCGTCAAACTGTTCCCATTGGTCGTCTATTTGATCTTATTATTTAGGTATTATAGGAAAGTAAGTATGTACTCCATTGAGCAAGCTCTTTCTATCTATGTGATTTATTTTTCTGTGGTTGATGAATACAGTAGGAGCCTGGATCTTTTAACCACAGAGATGGTGCATAAATAAGAAAAACAATAAGTGCACTAATGCTTTTTTGGAATTCCATTGGTTTTCTGGAAATTTTGGTGAAAGCAAGATTTAAGACAGAGAGGTTCATGTGCTAGGCCATCGACACACCTCTCTTCAAGGTAAGGTCAGTTCTAAGGTGAGCTCATCCTATTTTCTTTCTTCAATCTCAGGCGAAGATTCATCTCTCTAACCTACTACCTCTCTATAGAATTTAGAAATCCGAAAGTTAGAAGATGTAGGCAGAATTAGTCATGCATTCAAAAGTTAGGGATTTCATGCTACATGCAAAATGTTTTCTATTGGGCAGCAACACATAACATGTGGCGCTTTAGGGCTGCTTCCTACTAGTTATCGACATAAAATTTATAATTTTGTGATGCCTAGCCTTTTACTGTTGGAAGGAGGATATTCAATGTGGTTCTTTGCCCCCATTTTTTATCTATATGCATTGCGTAAAAGTTCTTTGTGTTTTGTTGATGGAATATTGATACTCAGCTGTGTGCCAATTTATAACTAATCATAAAAGGGAGAAGAATAAACTCAAGCACATTGGATAAATGCAACTTGCAGAAATTTAATGTTCTCTTCTCCTTTGTAGGTCCCGAGTCGGTTAATGTTGATTTTGCTCATGCACAACCCATCATAGGAGTCAGTAGGATCATCTTCAATGGGTGTATGGACTGCAATAGGTAAATGCCTTTTTGTTTTCACATTCGAAATTATGGATTGAACACTTCATTGAGATATTACACATCAAGAACCC